CTGAGCGGCCGCTAGCCTCGGCCCTTGCTCCCTGGCTTGGCCTCGGCTCCTCTCTGCCGGGTGAGCTGTGGAGCCGGGCTCCTAGCAGCGGTGGATGCGTATAAGTAAGTGAATAAAACCCTTTAACAGCTCTTAGGGAATAGTTTTACCTACGTTCCCTGCAGACTGGTAATTGTAACTTCTCCCTGCAGCTGCTTTTGTTGTTTGTATTTAGCTCTTGTCGCATGTGAAATGTAATTATCGTACAAACTGCTGCCAGTCTTAACGCCTTTTAGATCATTGCCTATTCCTGATGTTTTAAGCTTTTACTCTAATATGATGTCTTTTTTTTTTTTCTTTAAGAAGGCTAAGTCTCCGTATAATGGATGCATGTACAAGGAAAATGGCACAGTTGTTGGACAATGATCAGTTTTTGGAAAAAGTGGGGTAAGGGTACTGTTACAAAATCTTCCTGGGAATGTATAAGAAGATATGGAGTAAATAACTGTAGCTCATATAAACTGTGTACTGTTTCCTTCAAAGCATTTGTGGTACATCAGGTGGAACATGTAAGCAAACGCACATAGGAAAGTTGTACTTTGGCAAACTGTTTTATAAAGGCTTTGTGACAATGTGGGAATATTATCAGTTACATAATCATCCCGTAAAGCTCACTGTCCTGTAGGGTAAGCACAAAATCCTGTCTACTGAGCAACCACCCACCATGGCAAGACTTTACCGTGACTGATCTAGAACTAGATAACGGACTGCTGGTTACACGCATCAACCAGACACATGATCTGCTGGTAAGCAAGTTTTCCTACTAAATAGAGCAACTACGCAAGTAATACGTAACGACTGTTTTGGTATTGTTTGTCCTAAAGCCTGCTTGTTGTCAGATGTGGTTTATGTCAGTGCCTGAAACTGTTTTGTTCTTGGATATGCGTTGCCTAACTGCATCCATTCTTGGGACTTGTATATTTGTAACATTTGAACAGCGCATTTCATTCCTCATGCTGCATTTAGTATTTCTCATTTGATCTATAGAGAGTGCAAATGATGAAAATGCAGTCTAAACAGGTGCAAACCACAGAAGAATGGCTAAGAAACTACAGTTTAGAAGCCTTGCAATTAACATTACAGCATCTAATAAATGAAGGCAGTGTTATTTCGTGAGTATAGTGCTGCCCTTTCTTTAACCAGTCCTAATTTGTGTACATCTCTGATACTAATTATGCATAAAGTTCCAGGAATTCAAGAAATGCTATTGAAGAGAGAGAGTTTACAGAAGAGACTGTTGTTAATTTTGAGTCCAGGCTTTATGAGTAAGTATATGTCTTGTTTAGGAAGCTGAATTGTAACTGAGTCTATACTCCCTTCTTTCTTTATGTGTTCACGGATATATACTCTTTTTTTTTTCCCCCCCTCGATCCTAATCTGGTATCTGTAGGAATTTCAGGCTACCTCAATGTTAATCCCTATCTGCTGAGATTAAGGGTAGATAATAGGTACAAGTCACTGCAGTTGAGATATTTTTTATCTGAAGATACTTAAACTAGGTTTTCAACTGAAGCAATAAGCTCAATTTAGAAAGGCAATTAGTCAGTGGTTGGATTTTTCTCAGGTAATGCTATACATCTGTGGGTAATAGCACATTTCTTGTAGCTTAGATTAGTTTTGAACTATTGATCTAATTGTGAAAAGCGGCATTGCTTGGTTTTCTGGTCAAGGAATGGAATGCTGAAAGGAGTTTGTATTAGAACTAGGAAGGAAGGGAAACCCTGTAGCAGATATTTAGAGGCTGAAGTTTTCTAAGTGGATTTTAAACGTATGAAATCGAGAAAACTTGTGTTGAGGAAGAGATTTAATGAATAGGTTCAATAAGCTGTACAATAATCTTAACGTTTTTACCAGTCTTTCTAATAGTTTTGTTAGCCCATTCCTACGAGTGCCGCTACTTGAACATTGCTCACTGTTATCAGTCCTGAAGATCCAGGCTCTTCAGAAGGTCCATCTTCAGTACTTGCTGCCTGTGCCATCTAATTGAATTTTTCCAAATGCGGTTTAGAAAAGAAGTTGCTTTTGTATTTTGAAAGGACAAAAAGTTTCTGCTTCCCTTTGAAATGTTGGTTTTAATTTTCTGTTCTCCAAATTGTAAAACCATGCACAAGATATTTAAAAATAAGTTACCGAAAAGAGAATGATTTTTCTGCGACAATAAGTACTTTGCTTTACATCAGTTTGTATCTCTTCTAAAGTTAAACTGTTGAAAGTTCTGCTGCGATTACACCAGAATTTCAGTGAGAGTGCTGCCTTCCAATCAGAGTTATCTTACAAACTACACAATTCTTTAAAACACTTATGAATTCAATATATCTGAATTAAATATATCTCCAGACAATAAGCTAAATAAGTGTGATGAACTAAACTGGATTTTGCTAGAACTTTCATTCCTTTGTGCATGCACAAGTTGAATATCCCTCTCCTTTCTCTGAGTAGAGGAACATCAAGCAACTGATTAGAAAACATTTTCAATGGTCTATTTTTTCAGACAGTTACCTGTCTAATCAGTTAAACAGCTCTAGTGGAAGAAGTATTTAAATAGTCAGCCCTGCAATCAGTTGTATGAGAACGCTGAAAACAGAGTTCTTTTTAAAAAGGTGACTGAACATCTGTGGGGAAAAAAAAAAAAAAACATAATGAAGACAAATGTATGAATGTTACATTGATACCCAATGCAAGAGAATGCCTTAGCTAAATGTGCGCTATGCCTTTTGTCAGGGCAGTTGAACTTTATCAGCAGCGAATTCGGTGGCTGTTGGAGGACAGCAAAAAGGTAACTTTAACTTTGCCGTGCGTTTTTAGAGGGGAACTCTATATGATATTCAAGAATAAATTAGCTTTTGAATACGAGTACAAAGTGGCTTCCAGAAAGTTTAGCTATTTTCCTTATGCACTATGAGTTATGTAGTGTGCAGTGATCCTTGTCTTGATAGTTATTTTTTCTTGATCTTTTATTAGCATGTGGTTTTCTGCTTTCCAGGTGATCTTTTTCTTTCTATTAGCAATCCATTTCTGTTAATAATCAGGACCTCTCAAGGCCATTTAAACAGGACCAGACAATGCTGAGCTTACCCCTGACTGGAGCAGGGCTATCCTGTAGTCAAATGTGCCCTATGTCGCGCAGCGGGCCAGTCAGCTACTGTACCTAGCAGTGCTAAAGATCAGACATGGGAAAGGGACATTATAACTCCCTCTCAAAGGGGATGAAAAAAGAAGCAGCATCCCAAAATCCAGCTTCCACAAAGCTGCTTTATTTAACCTGTAGGAGATGCTGTAGACAAGGTATTTCTTCCTCTTCTCAAATAACAAATAGATCCTTTTGGGAAGGAAGGGATATGACTCTCCGATAAGGGCAAACTGGGAGCCGGTAGTCCTAAAAAGTTAAAGTGGAAAATCAACATACAGTATTTGAATTGAAAACGGTATTGTACAGAGTAAATAATAACATTTTTAAATTTCAGATGAGCGTAGTATTTACAGTGACTTTCCTTTTTTAAGGTTTTTGGCCTTATAAAAGGAACTAAAGTTGGACTTGTGGTTGATGTATCTGGTATGAGTTGCAGATCGAGACTGCTGGATTTTCAGAAAGATCTTTTGGTAAGTAATAATGAAGCAGGCTTTGGCCACTATAACGTTAATCAAGCCTCTGTGTAACTACAAGCAAGGTACTAAGTGGAAAAAAATCTGCTTAAATTCATAATATTTAATACAGCAGAAATTTTTTTCTTATAGAGAATTTTTTCTTATATGTGCACATAAAGGCATCTCAAATGCCTTTGGAAGTACAGTCTTTGTTGATGTTTAGACCCAAACAAACTCCTGTACATACCACGGTAATAAGAAAATTTCCATCTTAAGAAGTTTCTTTATTCGTCTGTCAGCAGCCCTCTATAGAATAAACTTGCATAACAGACAGCTGTAAGACCTAGAATGAAGTTGTATATTCAGCTGTGTATGTAAAATACAGTTTCCTTATGCCTTTACACTCTGATACAGCGACACACGCTTCGTTACTTTGGTCAGAACCTTGGTGAGTTAATACCTCCCTGAAGTTGCAGAAGAAACTTGTCTGTTCTTGTGCTATTTATTTTTATAAAGAATTTCTAGTGAGGAAGATAGTGTGGCTCTTTCATTACCGAATTCTGAATCTTTGTACACCTTCATTTCCTACGTTCAGGAATTATTTAAATTTGATTTGTATTAGCTCCTTTTTTTTTTATTTGCACACTGTATATAAAACTTCTTCAAGAGAATTCAAGTAGCACTTGCTCTGGTTAGCTTAGACCTAATGCCTGAACTGTTGTTTAGCCCTACCTGTGAGCATGTACTAAATATCTTCTAGTAATTGCTCAGTGGGTAAACATACCTCACCTAGATCATTATGCTCTGTTTCAAGTGCACATCAACTGAAGAGAAAAAATGATACCCAGTACAACAAATACTCCCTGCCTGCTCCCCGTCATTAACAAATTGGCTGCATTAGCACGGATTTGCAGGTTTCATCTCTACTCCTTACAAAGTGTTTGAATCTGTATGTCATCTCTTGGAAGTTTTTCTCTGTGGTGGCTGAAAACACTACTGTCAACTATTTTTAGCAAACTACTGTTTGTATTCTTTTACATAATAACTCTACTAGTAGCAGCATGGATACTAATGCATTAACACTTTTTATTTATTAGTGCTTAATAGATGAGCAGCTGTGTCATAAGAAGCAATTGTACTGCCTTTCATTCAGTACTGAAACTTCACCTCTGTGGGAAAGTCCAAAAAACATCAATGTCCATGTGTAAGTAAGTTAGCTACTGTGTAAAATAAAGACGTTTCAAACAAGTTTTCCATTTAATTAGAACAATCCGTTGTTGATAATAAATATCATTCTCGGTCTTGTGCCTGTAGTGATTTGTAAGAGGAGGAAAAAAAACAATGAATTGTAAGTGCAGTCAGTAATTTCAGGCTGCTCGTTCCTGCAGTAGGTCTCTTGGCAAGTCTTGTGGTTTGCAGTAGTCTTCATGTTCTATTTTACTTAGGATCTGCATGTAAAGTGTGCATGTTCCTTTTTTTTTTTTTTTCCCCCCTAGGCTTCATGAAGCAAGACAGTGGGTGCAACGCTTGGAGCCTGGTCGAGGCTGTAATTTGCTGAAAGCCTTAAAACATGTCCTTACAGTGAAAGAACTGGATTCCTTGGTTCTTATTGTAGGAAGCTGGTAGGTCCGTTATCAGTCCTAGCAACCAGCTTTAACTTGGATATGGAATTATCTAAGAATCTGAATTTGGTATAGAAATAAATAGAAAAAGGAATTCAGATATAAAACCTAGATCTTAAATTATTTCTTCACTTTTTCACTATTTATAAATCCTCTCTCTCCTGATATGAAATTGCAGTTTGTAGATAAGTTGTGGCACTAATCCACTGAGAGTCTGTTAACTCCAGTGTTACATCAATAAAAATCCTTCAGCGCCATTGAGAATCTCACTGAAAGTGTCCATGCTTCTGGGAAGATTAGACAATTAGTTAAACTTACTGTGAAATAAGTAAACGTTGAACATTCAAAGTTAGTCTTCTGTCTGTGATCTTAGTGATGCTGATGGAAGACTTAAAATGTCTGATTAAATAAATGAAACCTGTTAGCAAGCTCTGCTGAGATAGAATAAATTACGGACTTACGTTGTGCAGTTCTGGTCTTTGAAAAATTGCATTCTGGAGTCATGATTACAAGAAAAAGAGACTACATGAAAGGTTCTGGAAGTGTTACTGTACTCGTTTATTCATTGTGTTTATTTTCAATGTGAAAACAAGGGATGGTGTAAACTTGGCAAGCTTGATAGAGTGATTGACATTACATTTCACTTGACTTAACTGAACGTAGTGTTCAGTTAAAAGGTTCCCAGTTCTGCCTAGATCTGCTTTGCACTGTAATCACAAGTTTATGACGAGTGCAAGTGAAAATTTCCTCAATTTTTATCCCTGGCGGAAGTTTAGCTGGAGAAAAAGGTTGTTGCTTGCCATGAAGAACCACCAAAACTCGGCTTGAAAGCTGCATGGGTCACTAAGCTCTAAACACAAAACAAAGTTTTACTTCCTTTGGTGCCTTTGGAAGAGAATGGGCGTACATGCCTCACATACGGTTGAGGATCCGAGTTGAAGACTTTTCTATTGCAGTTTGTCAAAGGGGTCAAAAGCATCATTCAGGATTCTTAGTTCTCAAGGCAGGCAAAGAGTAAACTTAGAACGTTTCACTGAGGACTCATAATGAACGAAACCAGAATCTTAGTGCTTTTACTTTAATTCAGGTTTTCGGGGCTGAGTTTAAACCCCAGTAGTGGTGTCCTAGTAATGGTTAAAAGAGGGCGAGGAGGTCAAACCATGCTAGTGATTGGATTACATTCCCATGGTTTCTTATTTCTTTCCCATTTAGCATAATCTTCCTTGCCTTCTTCAACATGTCCTCTTTTTTGTTTCTGTTTGATTAGTATCATTAATTTCTTTTTTTCTTTCTTTTTAATCAGCCCTAATCAGTCATTGGAAATGCTGGCTGACTATGTTCAGCAATGTATGCTGGGGAGAAAACTACTGATTCATGCCGTTATATATGATTGTAGTAATTCTGTCTCTCTTGTAAGTAATTGTCTTAATACATATTTCCTTAAGCGTCCTGTCGTATATTTCCTACTCAGCTGGAGTGTCTTTTCTCATAAATCAATGCATCTCTCTGCAGAGATGCTAGACTACTAATTAATGAGTTCCTGAGATGTATTTTTCTTTAGAGAAGATTTGCACAGGTGGAAGAACTTGTTTGGAGCATCCCTGTTTCTTCATCGTAGTTCATCCCAAAGCTAGAAGTGGCAAGTAAATACATTTGCATTGCTTGGTCCCCAAATGGTGTTCACTGACTGGGCAGCTTAGATGCGGTTATTTCCGGATAACGGTGCTGTGTGTTTACACAGAGACTCTGGGGCTAAGAACTCTTTCACAAGTGAAAGCAGAAAGGTAGGGGACTTCAGGCAGTACTGCAGGGAGGAGGAGAGGGAAGGGAGATGGCTCATAGGAGAGAGGCAGAGACTTAGGAGTATGGCAGTCTCTGGGATAGGGATAATTTTGTGTGAATTAGCATCTGTGCAAGACCCTGCAACCCTGCTCAATTTACACTGCAATGGCTGTCAAGAGCAATGGTTTGGATGTTAGCAGTGCCTCCACGTTTGAAGGAAGAGGGCAGAAAGATAAGCAGTTACTCTCGATTAGCTTCTGCACAGAAACTTCTTTTTAGCTGTTAATTGCTAACTTAAGTGTATCCCAAAGGTACGGTAGTGACTTCAGTGGTAGGGGAGACATGGTTGAAATCCTGGTTTGGAGAGGAGATGAGAAGTATGTGTGGTAAAGGTATTGCAGTTGTGAGGAGAAGGATTGCAGTGGTAATAGTGGAAGAGAAGGAGATGAGAGAAGTGAAAGGAGGAGCAAAGCACTTAAGCGGTAATTGTGAGCAGAGGAAGGATAGCCTAATACTTGTGCTTCTAGCCTTCGGTGACATGCCCTTGATCTGACTAGCACAAGCTTACCTTGAGAGGAAAAGCAGTTAACTTTGGCATTTTAACACACGGTGAATGAACTTGTCCTTTATTGCCTATTTTTAAATTTCTTGACTGAGTTGTTTTTTCCCTTATATTCTTAAAATAAGACTAGTAAGAAAACAATGAAAGCATCTCATATTGATTTTGACTTTCTTGCTACGCGTACTTTAAAGATTCTTTCTCTCTGTCTCTAATCAAGGATTGAATAGCAACAAGCCATGTTATCAAAGGAGATGACCGAATCAAAGTAACTATTTTTCTTCTGATTGATACATGTAGGAAGTTCTAAAGAACTTTGCAGATGTTGTAAGAGGCCGTTATCATTGCTACTCTTCAAAGGGGGAGGTAGGTGAAGGCCAGAAGGGCAAAGGACTTTTTCCTTTTTGTAATTCTTCACTCTTAGAAGGTCAACTTCTCATCATCTGATTGGCAGTTTATAGCAAGACCGAGTGCCAAAAGTTGTCTTCAAGGAAGTGCTCATTGAGCACATTGAGGATGTGCTCAATAAACCTGTGTTTAATTCTTTCTGCAATTGAAAATGCTTTCCTAAAAGTGAAATAAACTTTACAGAAGTTGCTCATTGACTCAAAGCTGGTGCATAGCATGAAAGCAGTGATGGGCTTATCATTGTGTAGAGCAATTCAAGGATTCCTTGTTTATAAAGTAATAACTTCTGTATACAGTGCATTAGATACGTCCACACTTGATTCTGCTATGCCAGGCAGTCTTGTATGGATGAGTGTACATCCAAACAGGAAAGGTGGGGTTGATTGATATTTGAATAGCAGGTAACTTTTTTCCCCCCTCCTTGTTTTTGTATGTACAGAATTTTGATAGTAGTGATGTTCATCTACTACTTCAGGAATACCAGAAGGCTAAGGACTTAATCAACAGCATCAAACAGACTTTTCAGAGACGAATCGGTGGCTCACTTACTAGTAGAATAGCAGATGTATGTATTGCATTTGTTATTTTCATATTTAGAAAGCCACAGTGCTCACAGTATTTAGTCATATTTATATGACTACTCAGGTATTTTGGTAAATGAGCTTTGAATATCATGTGGTGGCATCCATTGTAAGAGTAAATTAAGGCTAAAAAACTGCAAAGGAGACATTTTGTTAGACATTTCTCCGAAATGCAGCAGCTTTTGCAAACCAACCAAAACACAGCGGCAGAGTAAACTTTACCATGATCATAATGAAAATCTAAGAAAAATCCTTAGCCTGCCTGTGTGCATGATCATTTAAATGAAGTTCCAACAATCCTTTAAATTAGTAAAAAGATACTTATTCCGATCTGACTGAGGCGATGCTTACACCAATTGCAAGGTTGTGAGAACTTGTCTAGATCCATTACTAGTGTTGTAGTTATGAAGTTACAGTCTCTGTTGCACATATGTCTCTGTGTTGGTCCTGTCTCATCGTGATGACTTGGCACCATTCCTTTGGTGACAGTTGTCTTGGTAACATTTCTATCTTAATGCCTTATGTGACCAACATGCCAGAGGTTTTACTTCATTTGTCTTTTCTCCAGTGAAATAATTTCCAGACAATCTTAATTAAATTTGGATGAGGGGGAAAAAAGAATCTCCCGTGACTTTATTCCTTTCTGTGGAATATTTGGAGAATTTCTCATTTTGCTTTGTTCTGGTAGAAGGATTATTTGCTCGTGTCCTTCTGTCACCTTACGCACAGATAGGTATATTAAGGGGCTCTTTTGGCTTATTACTTTCATGTCTGTACTTTCTAGGGGCCTGGAAGTCTATATAAGGTGTCTGAGTTCGGCTATGATTGCCAAACTTTCATGCTAAAAATTTAGTAGCACTGTTTTACAAATCTATGGCTATGCAACAGGGTTGTGTTTTGTTTTGTTTTGTTTTGTTTTTAAACAAAATGATCTGCTTTCTGTCACAGCTAGTAGGGGCAGTGGTGTGAGGTGGATAAGTCTGTTCTGACAGGGACTGAAAGCTTCCATCAGGTGTCATTACATATCTGGTCACCTGACCTGGGACATTCCAGGCTGCAGGCAAACTGCTTGTCTGTGAATAGTGTTTCTGGTTCTGTTCCCTCTCCTCCTTTGAGTTCCATATATATAGTAGTAGTATGTAGAATTCTTTTATATTTTTCTTCCAACTTCGTAATGACTATGGACCATATAAACTGCATATGGAGCAGAAATCACCCTGAAATGACTTAGAGGTCCTATATCTCCAAAGCAATAAAAGTCTGTCATTTTGGAAACTTACTGGTCAAGCCTTCTATAAGAAAAAATAATTTCCACAAACTTCTGTCCATTCATAAAACAAAGGCCTTTTGAAATAAGGGTGTTCAAACACCCTATAGAAATTTGTTTACATGTTTCTGTAGGTGTGAATGAAGGTAGAATGCGGTTCATTTTGACTCTATGCTCAGAGCAGATAGCAAAATGAAGAAATGGGCATTTGATTTGTGTATAATGGAGAGCCTTTTCCTACTACTTTTCTTAGGGAAATGTCTGGCTGTTTTCTTGCCAGTATGTGAAACCATGATGTTTTCATTTCCCTTAAGGATTTTTGCATTGTAACTAACACAGTGAAGTTAATGGAACGCTGTCCCCCAAAAGCCATTTTTAAGAGAACCCACAGTAGCTATGTTCAAAGTATTTCACTTGTTGAAATCACAGCATTTCAGTGAACAGGAGTAAAAGAAATATTCTATACTAGATATTTAGTACTGAGAAAAATAGTATGCTGATGCTTACAAGAGTCCTTTTTAAAATCTATTCTAGGTTTCCACAAAATGTGCAAATACAACACCTTCCAACTTCCTTCCAAAGCATGAAGGACCATTAGTTATTCAAATATCAAGCTTCCCAGCTAAAACCTCAAGAGAGTGGTTAAAGACAAATGGATTGAAAGGTAGCAAAGAAAAAAAAATCCTAACTTGTATGAAACGTAAATTGAAGATAGAGCATGTATTTTATTTAATTTCTTTGTTCCTTCCTACAGCTAAGAAGTTAAACCTTTATCAGATTTTGGCTCCTAATGCTTTCTCTCCTGTGGAAGAATTTGTACCTATTCTTCAAAAAACAGTATCCTCAACTGTACTTGAGGTAAGTGATGGGGACCCTTTTCTTCTTTTTTTTTTTTTGGTGTTTTTACTCCTACAAAATCAGTACTCTGTAAGACAGTGACATTCTGTGGGCTGTAACTGAAGTTAATTTCATGCTAATGTAGCTTATATAGGCTTCTGTAAACACCGAACTGCATTATTTATCCTTCTAGAAAGCCATGATGCGGTTTGAATGGCATGATGGAACGGTGAAAAATATCCATGTTGACCCACCAATATTATACAACTATCAAGTGAGTTGTCTGTGGTGACTTGGCCTCATCAGGGCTACATTACCATCTCATTATTCCAATGCTAACTGCTCTGTTACGTAAGTCTTGCAAGGATTCATATGCAGACAGCTGTCCATATAAGTCTGCAGTGATCTGGTCAGGCCGGGGGCCCAGATTCTTACGGTACTTTAGAAGAAAGCTAAACGAGAGAGTCCAACAGACTGCTCACAAATATAGCAGTGTGTGCATTTTGTGATTTATGTGTAAAGAAGTATTTGTGTTATTTTACCCACATTTTTAAAGCTATATACTGAAAGGATACAGACTGAAGTATTCCTACTTGTTTTAACAAAACTATCTCATTTCACCTCCTTAGTTTAGCTGCAAAAAAAGTTTTCTGTTTTGTTTTCTCTCTCTGAAAGTCAAACAAGTGCCATAAAGTGTCTAACTGCTATTGGTTAGATCACGAAAGGCTCAAGACATAGAAGGAGCTTTCTAGGAAGCAGTGTAGTAGCAAGCTTGGATTATTGTTTATATGATATGAAGGATTATGTGCAAAGGCACGTTACGTATTTATAGTGGTGAACCAGAGCCTATTCCTGCCATGGCAACCTAGTCCAGCAGATGTGCAGAAAAGACCGTCAAGGCAAGGGATTATTTTGAAATCAAAAGCTTGATCTTAAACTATCAAATAATCCATAAGACTTACTGAATAAGGGATAAATAAAACATACTGTGACACCAGTTTATTTGGTAGTTGAGCCTGTCTCAACTACATGAGCAAGTGGGTGGAATGGAGGTGGGGAGAATGGTGAAATAAGACTAATGAGAAAAGACACAGTGTTCCGGATCAGTGATGTTTATTTCTGCATGTGGGGAAGACAGCAGAAGCGTGTGACAGTTTGCGTAATGAAGAAACTCACAAGAATAAAAATTGGGTTGCCTGGACCATGACCTGGCATGACTCTACGTTTTGTGTTTGGATAACATTTACATACGTGTGAGTTTCCCTCCCCTATATAGTTTGAGTTAGTTTCCATAACATCCAGCATCCAGTGTCCTTCTATTTGAAATACTGCTGTAGCACCCGAAGACTAGGAATAGGGCACAGTCCATATGAAGAGACTGGTAGGATTTGGGCGATACAGTTTACATTCTGAATCTACGTCTGATCTGTACTTTCAGATAAAATACGTTACCCTTTTCACTGTGAACCCTTCGTTCTTTTCATGCGGGAAGTAGCATGTGTTCTTCATTGTAAAATGACCAACTCCAAAACTAAAAAGTGCTACATGATTGCCAAATGTTAATATTCTTCAGACCCTGCTTCAAAAATAATTCATTCTGTGGTGCATAAGAACTCTTTCATGACTGTGAATAGGATTTTAGCCTTGACAGTGTTCCTACAACAGTCCTGTCATGCATTTAGACAGAATATATTTTTGCTAACATGCGTGTCAAAGGCAAATGATCCAGATGTATTTTCAGCTTAACCAAGCTTGTTAAGAGTCAGAAAGCAAAAATTATTTCTGGTTACTTTATAGAAGGTTGCCATACTTTTACTCAAATGTGTCAGTTACATGTGCAAGTTGTACAAGCTGGGTATTTGTATTTCATGTTTTAGTATACACTCAGCCAATTCTTTATACTTCTTGTGAATTGGGAAAAATTTGCCAGCATAGTGCTACAAACAATGTTATTTAAAAGCAGTTAGTTCATGCTGGACTGAGCTTGTTTCTATAGGGTATTGGTCTGTATCCACAGAAATGTTGTTGTGCTTTGGGTGAATATACCTTTCTCTGATGTACCACCTGGGAGAAAAACTCAGACAATGTGTGGCAGGGCCTCCCCCCTGCCACTGGATACTACATGTCTCTTGAGAAACCATGAGGACTGGACTGGTTTTTTTGGTTTACCCCCTCATCTACATCTTGCACACATTTTTCCTCTCTCTTTTTCCAGAAAAAGTGAGTCTAGTTTTGAGGAAGCTACAGTCTTCAGGCTCATTCGGGCACGTGTGGACATTGAATACA